TGGTGTGAGGCACCAGAGGTGCCACTGAAGCTGGCTTGTTAGCAGACAGTCTCAGAAGCTTGTGGAGATGGTTTTAGGGGATGGTCGTCAAATGCACACTATATATTACGCACCCTCTCACAGACAGTTGTGTTCAGACGCCATGCCACTTACAAACTCAACTGTGTTTTACCCCCTACCTGAGCTACCCTCTGCAGATGACCCTTGACATACGTGCCACTGATTGGTGGAGGCTTGAAGGTTCACCTGTCATATTATAGCATAAGCCCTGTTATTATATGCTTTTATTGCAAAACAAGCTGTATGTTAGCCTTCCTGTTCATATCAGTGGCAATTGCTCAGCCGGAGTAGGACTCTTTAAGGATGCAATCTCCATGCCAGCTTTGCTCATCTTTGCTTTTTTTTTTTTTTTTTTTTTTTTTTTTTTGCCCTTTTTCTTACATTAAAATGAATGTTGTTTCCAAATGCCAGTTTCACCAGACCAGGTTTTCTCCACAAGTGTTCAAAAAGGCAATTGCTACTTTTTATCTCACTATTTTGCAAACACTAAAGTTTAGGGACTATTTTTCACTTTGAACTATATGCTTATTAGCATTAGGGGTGTAACGATACATGTATTCGTACCGAACCATCACGGTATGGACATCTCGGTTCGGTGCATGACGCCTTACAACGAATACAGGCAATTCACCCTCAATCCAGAAGGTGGCGCCTGCAGTAATGCAACACTGTTTGATAACCGGCTGCCAGCAGAAGAACAGCGAATGACATGAGTTGCGCACTTGAAAACAAAGCCCACTAGACAGTGACCATGTGCTGATTCTGAACGCGTCTTTCACTGACAAAGGAGTATACTTTAAAGGCTTGCCAGTTACCTGAACTATAAATGACATTTGATTAATTATAGACATGGAAAAAAGTGTGTGTGTGTGTATATTGCTTGCAGATTTTTTTCTAGCTACTGTACATTTTTATAAATGTATTTTTAGTGCTGTCAAACGATTAATCACGATTAATTTGATCCAAAATAAAGGTTTTTGTTTACATATGTGTATGAATTGTGTATATTTATTATGTATATATAAATACACACACATACAGTATATATTTTAAAATATTTACATGTATACATTTCTATTTGTATATATATATACATAATTTATATTATATATAAATATATTTAATCTATAAACATATTTTTTCTTAAATATATACATGCAAGTGTGTATTTATATATACATAATAAATATACACAGCACACACATATATTATGTAAACAAAAACTTTTATTTTGGATCCGATTAATCGCGATTAATCGTTTGACAGCACTATATATTTTAAATATTTTATCATAAATATATATAGATCTTTTTTTTATTTAAAAATATTTTATATTAAATTGAATTTTTTTTTTTTCTAAATTACATTCATTGAGTTCCTAAATAATGCGTCTATATATTTCTAAGCCTTTATGGCAGCTCTACTATAGGCCAAGCTCTCTTCCTATGGTCAGAACGTGATCTTTAGCCCTTTATTGGCAACACACCACAACAAATCTCTCTTGTTATTCACTCTCATCACATGCAGACAGAATGCTTTTTGTCTCTGTTTTTAAAATATAGTAAATGAGTGTTCAGTCCTGATAATTCACAGCAAGGTGCTCGCCACTGTGCTTCTGTTCATCGAGCAAAATATCTCCCTCGCCTTTCTTTCCCGTTGCATGTTAATTTAAAGAGAGAAAGTGAAAAAACATTGAAGGAAAAAATTAAATGCATTTAATAAATGCCTGACTTCAAATGGTTAGGGTTTCGGGCTCCTCTATTACTGGGTCTATTCAGCGGCAAATGAACGGGGGGAATCATTTATGAGCGAGAGACAAAGCCGAATGAAAATATAATTCCGCATTGTGCTGCGCTTTTGTTAGCGGCCGTCAAGTCCCTAATGGCGCGCTTTTGTTTTCCTGCACTGCTCTGAAACCGTAGTGTCGAATTGCACGCTCCGCTCACGGTGTGTAATGGCCCGCCTTTGTGATATTAGATTATAGGGGCAATTAATGGCGTCAAACCTTAACAACTCAGCATTCAGGCGGCTCGTCAATCCTACTGTCGCGCCGCAATAGAAGGTGTTATAACTCTGGTAATTATTACGCCTGCAACTTGAAAATGTCAATGAACGTGTGTATAAAATAGAATGTATGGGTTGTCACTGCGGGAGAATGGGATGCAGAGGAGCAATTAATTACAGGTTTTCATTTCGCTCTTTCCCAGTGACAAGCAACCGCGCGTGGCAAATTGGCGTGACGCCAAGTGCCTGCCACGCCGAGCCCCCTCTTTTGCCCTATCTCACGTTTTGTCTCCCCCATTGGGTGCACAAACAGCACACATACGCGCATATGCAGCTGGCCTGCTGCAGGCTCTCGCCTCGGATGGCGCCCTGACTTTATTTCAGACGCCTCTTCCTCCCTGGATGCACATACTCTCTTTCCAAGCTGTAATTGTAGGGCCCTTGATGTGTTTAACTCTTGATACAAGTCATCAAACGCGAGTACCTGACATTTGGCAGAGGGCCGAAATGCTCTAACGCTCGTCCCTCGATGGCATCAGATGCATGATCTCATCAGCTGAAATGTGTCCGTGCTTGTTAGCTTTAGCTGTAAGCGCTAGTCTAACATAGCCTCACCTGCGTCACGCCTATAATTAATCAAGGTGAGTGGCACGCCAGCCCATAAAATGCGTCTGTCTTGTGGCGCATAAGTCATAGAGGCTAAAAGAGTGCATAATTTTGCCTCTTTGTCTCTGTCATGGATTCTGGTAAGAGTTCCCCCTTCTTCATAGTGAAGGATACGGATGGCTCGTTTGATGTGATAGGGACGTTTACAATAAAGTATCGGACAGTCGGCGATAACCGCTCGCGAGCGCCTGCTTTCATCCCTCTTTCCGGTGGGAAAAAGAGCCAGTGTTCGTATTTACCGCCAATCTTGTTTACAAAGTCAAATCAGCCCTTTACAGATTTAATTTGCGTCTGACAGCTCTCTCTCTTCGTCTTTCCTCTCCTTATCTCGCCCCCCTTCCTCCGCCCCTCTTCACGAGCCCTCGAGCTCCGAATAGATAAACTGCTGAAAATATGAGTGCTCAGGCGCTACATGAAAACAAATGAATGCAAATATCAGATCGGACTGGCAGTGGACTGGGAAGCCGTCACGGCGATGCCTGTCTTTTTGATTCCCTTTGAGTGGAAAATGTAGATAAATGTACGTATTATGCGGGATTGTAGTTTGCACTCGTATGTCAGCTTCAAGCCAGCCATTGCCTGTAAATAGCTTTATTTTTATTGAGCAGTTGCAGGGAGATGATCAGTTCTGGCCCTTGAGCAGTAAATAGGAAAATAAATGGAACGCCACAGAGCGGCTGTGTGTGTGCGTGTGTGTCAGTGGAAGATCGCTAGTTGAATTCGAGGAAGCAGCCGCAAATTGTACTGGTGGAAATTGCTGGCCCGTTAAAAAGCTGCCCATAAGTTCACAGAGTGGCCGGTCCTACTGCATTAAAGGATGTAATGGTACTGGAGGCCTGCCTTCAGGCTTTTTCAAACCATCTCTCTTTTACACACACACACACACACATAGTAAGGACAACCATGACCGATATGAATTTCTGGACAGTTGATGGGCTGCCACTAGCCATACTGGGCCAGCACTGCATCTGTTGATCATGTTTGCATGTGTTTTTATGCCTTTGAAACTTAACTTAAACAATTGGTTTTGTGTGATGTCTTAAACATTTTTGTTATGAATTTGATGAATTCAGCAGATTTAAATCAAGTTTGAGGTTTCTTTCTTTCTTTTTTTAACTAACAGTTAATTAATAGTCATGGAAGTGTCAAGCAAATCAGTAATTTTTTGCAACTTATGCCATCATTTTTCAACAAAGGTGTTTGCGTGAATTTATAACTTCTGAATTCAAAATGAAATGTATATATTTTTTTTTATTTCTTTTTTTGTTAACATTATGGTTAAAAAAAGAATTCCACATAAAAAAAAAAACAGGCAACTGTGAGAAATATCAGAAATAAAGTTGCAATTTAAAAGTTGCTATTATGAGAAAATGGGCTTCCACTGAAAACGTCATGCTAAGTGAAAAATATAAATATGAATATGAAACATTTTGCTAAAAATAATATGGGGTTTTCTGAGTGGGGCCATTGCAAATGTTGGTAGGGCAAGTGAACATCTGACTGGACTTGCAGAGAGAAATCCTTATTTTTGAGCCTGGCTCTCTTTCCATTTCTCTCCTTTTCTGCATATTTGTCATAAGATAAGAATCACGCCTTCCATCTTTACGCCTCGTTCTTGTCTAGCAAATTGCGCTCTCAATTCCAGACTGTTGCAAGTTGTTTCCTGCCGATAGCTATCTTATCAGACTGTTTGTTATTTTTGCCAAAGATGTGATTCTCTAGATAACGAATCATAATATTATGTTTATTGAAGTACTTTCAGGCTGATAAAGACTACATACTCAAGGGAAGATTTGATCAACACGCTTTCTCGCTCTCTTTTGGAAAAACTGCCAGGGTTTTACAATGCAAGCAGTGTGGAGCTCTATTGTGTCAACAGAGCTGATGTTATGTGTACTCTCTTTGGCATGACAGGATAAAGAGTTAATTAAAGTGAAGTACAACATTCCTTTATGATGCTAAAGAAACAAAAATGGCTTTGTATCACGTTCAAGTGAGGGATATGTGCTTATCTCTCTGTAACGGTGTCATTTAGTACAGAGATTTTGTTTTTGGGCCCAGATTGTGCATCTTAACAGTCGATAAGCCTGTTTATTTATCACATGCATGTTAATAATTTGCATTTAGCATCATTCTGTTGAGCAGACCAGTGACACATTTTAGTGTCACGACCCACCAGTTGAGTACAGACCCATTGTAACTGAGTGTGATAATCAAATACACGCACATCCATGCATGTGGTCACTTATTGGTCTGTCTTCTCTTATTAGGTGCCGGTATCCATGGCGATGATGACCCCACAGATGATAACTCCTCAGCAGATGCAGCAGATCCTCTCTCCACCTCAGCTCCAAGCTTTACTCCAACAGCAACAAGCCCTTATGCTGCAACAGGTAACACACACACGGGCGCCTCGCAAGTCACCACACACAGAACTTAAAACAATATTTGTAAATGTCTGGGCTGCTCAGACATGACATGCCCACACAAACCACACAAAAGGTAAATTTTTCCATGCCAATTGATACACGTTTTATTGGCTAATCAAAATATTACTGAACGCTATTCGCTACATCATGTTCTTTAAAACCTGTGCTGAGCTGTGGGTCCATATGTCGTCATTTTCCAGCAAAAGTGTGTGTATGATATGATAGCTTTCATGGAGTTTCATGATATTGGACATTTATTTGGTTAATTTTAATTAATTAATTATTTAAGGCTAACCATATTTGTTAATTTGGAGTACAGAAAACTAGGAAAGCCTGTTTCTGCAGGTAATTATCATATAGTTTAAAATATCTTACCCTGGCTGAATTTATTTCATTACAAATACAGTAAAACATACTGATTTGCTGATTTGGTGCTTAAGAAAATGCTTTCTTTTTTTTTATCAGTGGTAATATATGAACATATTTTTAAGGAAAATGAATGATTAATATAATTTTGAGGAAACTGTGATACATTTTTCAGGATGCTTTGATGAATAGAATGTTCAAAACCAGCATTTATTTGAAATATAATTTTGTGTAACAAAGTTATTACTTGTTTTGCTGTCACTTTTGATTAAAACACTCTTACTGACCTCAAACCTTTGAATGGTAATCTATAAATTCACATTTATGAGAAATAGTTGACACTATGAAGAAAAGTGTCACAACTACCTTTTTTATTTTTATTAATTTTTTTTTTATACTGAGGAAGAAATTGGCTTCCATACAAAACTTAACGTTAACTGAAAAATATTAAGTTGGCGCCAAGGGGTGCAAACTAAACAAACAAGAATTCAAAACCTTTTCAAATATACATGCACTCAGACATAAGAAACACAAACACTTTGTTCCATACTTCCTTAAGAAAACTTCTTCCCTCCTGTCCGGACTTCTAACTGCTCAAGCCGTACATGTTTTATAGAAGAATCCTGCCAAATTGACGTCCTTCATTCCAACAGCTGTTGCCATCATTTTTATAGAGTGCCGTCGGATGGCACAGTAAATGCACATTCACGTGTGATCCCCATTAATAGGCCCTGAGTGTAGATGTCAGAGTGTGTAATGTAATCGCGTTTTGTGTAACTTTGATTGCATCCTCACAGGCATGCCCAGAATGATATCTTCCCCGGCTTTGATGTTACTTGGCTCTTGCGTTTATAAGCAGCATTTACTAGCATACTAGTGTTAGCGACGCCTCCTTTGGCTGGTGTCGCTACACGTCGACTCGCCGGTGGTCAGGGAGCGCTTATGTTAGAGCGAGGGCAATGTTTCTCACCCAGCTGCTGAGCCAGACTTTTCCATATCTCTTCCCGTCTCTCTCTCTCTCTTTGTTTATTAGTTGCGCGGCCTCTGCTATCTCGCCTGGAGGCCAGAGGTGCGGCCCCTGAGCAGACATGAAGAAACAAACAACCCCATTTCTCTTGCGTCTCTCAAATATTTAACATCGTCCCAAAACTCTGCGCACCCTCGACCTTTTCACACAGAAATCAGGTCTCTGAAACCTCCCTAATTGAGAACACATGATTATTTTTCACAGCCAAAAGATGTAAAAAGGTTTTCTGTTGCATAAATGATCTTGACAGAGAGCAGAATTGATTTAGTAGTAAGGAGGAGGAGGTTGCTTTAGGCGAGTATAAATTGCGGCAAGCTGATCTGACAAATTTATCAAGAGTCGCTCGCTCGCAGAAATCAAAATTCAGCTGTTTGAGAAAGAAACTTAGCACTTTGTCCCCCTCCTCCCGCTTTATTTCTCTCTCTTTTTTTATTCTATATTTAACGAGGATATTGAAATTGAAATAGTCACCGTTCATGGGCCGTTTTACATCTCCAGTAAAAGCCAGTAGGTTTAATGGTTTGCAGTGGTGATGAACCACGTGAGAAGTGGCTTTTAATGCTCACTCTTTTGCGCACGGCAAATGGAGCAATCAGAGAGCCTTCCAACACACACGTACAGCAATCCGTCCCTGATCTCATCCCAGCGCGTGTGGGAGAATGAGTGGGCTTTGGCTTTTTCTGCATGTGAATACCCTTACAAATATGATTTTACATACAAAGACCGCAAGCGCAGGAAAGCGAGAGCAAGTGCATTTTTATGTGTACGTGTGCACTTATGCATGTGTGAGTTAACCTTTACATCCCTCCAACCCTTAATTACAGTCCTGCTGATATATTTTTCCTTTTTTATCCCCTCTCTGTACTGTTAAGTAAAACCAAGGTCACAATAATGGGAATCTTAAGGTGAATGCCTTTCAAGGCATGCAGTTAACGTGAAAGGGGCCCACTGAATCAAATCATTAAAAAACCCTTAATTATTCTTTAATTATTCCCGCAACTATTCAGCTTCATATTGGCATGAATTAAAGGGGTAATGAGTGGGCGAGAGGCAACGGGGCCAGGCAGGCGGCAGCGAGGCGTGGAGGAGAGTTTAAACCGAGAGACGGGCGACATATTGCCAGCCAAACGCCTTTAGTGTGGTAAATGGAGTCTCGCTTCACACCTTACGGCTCGCTGGCCTCCTCTGTTCGAAAGGGCCTTGGCTCGGCGTCGCAGGCTCGCTGACTTCCTCTGTTCGAAAGGGCCTTGGCTCGGCGTCGCAGGCACAAGATAGCTCACCTTCAATATCCTGTAAAGCAGCATGACGACAGGTAGCCAAATGGACGCAGTGGTGTGAGATGGCTTTTGTAGAGGGAATGCAGACTTTTAGTGTTGCTTGGTAGAACCGCTCGTCTGGTTAAAACAGCAGGAGATGAGTGAGTTCAAGGCTCGTTTAAGACTAGAGTTGTGTACACTCAGGTCAGCCCGAGAGAAGTTTTCTGACGACAGACAGCCAATCAAATGAAAGCTTTCTGTCTTTTGCAAAGTAATTCTGTCAGATGAACATCTGGGCTGTTGGTTTTGGTATGAAGTGCAGGGTTTCCACAGTAGTGGAAAACCTGGAAACATCATTGAAGTTTGAATAAGGAAAAAATGAAAATTAATTTTATTTTATTTCATTAAAATTAATAGAAAAGCCATGGAAATGGTGCTTTATGTAGTATACATTTTTTTTTCTAGTCTGCTCTAAAATATGCAGTCAGTTCGTGCACTTGTGTAGAGAAATGTTTGAATTATGAGTGAATTGTTCTTTTGAATCAGTTCGTTTTAATGAGCAATATGAATGATTCATTAATGAATCTGTCTAATTAAAAACAAATAAAAACAACTTTTCAATAATCACAAATGACTTGAAAGAGAAAAAAAAACCATCATGCATTTACTTGAATGCATTTACAGGGTTTCCTGCTTTTTTTATTTTATTTTATTTTTTTCCTTTCCGGTATCTCCATAAAAGTCGTGTGTATTTCATATGACCCCAGAGATGCATAATTTGAGTTTTTGGTCAACATTTTAGGTTAAACATTTTAGAATATTATGTTAAAAATTGTAAGAAATTAATTTTAATAAGTTTGAAAATGTCTTGCAAGGTGACATTAATTTATTGAAAGAACAAATATTCCAGTTAGCCTTTTTGTAATGAATTTGAGGTTGAAAAATCTGCATGCGTTATAGCTATAAAAAGACATTTTCATGTCTCGAGTCGTCATATTAAAAGTTCATTAAAAGTACACTGAAAGTATTTTGTGTCAGCGCTCTCTTTTTAAAGTTATACAGTGTTGTAAATTGGTACGTAGCCCACTGTTAAGTACCTCATTCCTTAAGTAAGCCCGCATTACATCTGTAAACAGTATGTGTGATAAGGAGTTAATGAGGGTATCATTATTCTACTTTTCTCCAGCAGCTGCAGCCAGCGTTCCCCCAGGTGCTCCTCCGCAGCCTCTGCGTGTCCGAGGGCCTCCGTGCTCTGCTTCTTCAGTCAACATGCACTTCCATGTCACATAGGTCATCCATGCAAAGCTGAGATTTTAATCTTAATAGGCTTTCCTGGGTAAATTAATAATCTGAAAGTAAAACAAACAGCGGTGGGTCTGCGGTGGCCGCTGCGGTTAGCCAGAGCTACGGTTGGAGATGTGTAATGACAGTGTTAGTGGGTGCGAGCCAGTCCCACTTAGGACTCAGTAAAAGAGTAGCTTGTTGAAAGCCTTTCTCGTGTAATATTTTTTCTCTTTCAAATGTAGGAAAGGGTGAGTGTATTATTTTAAATCTCTGGAGGTGAAAACCTCATGTATATACAGTTTACTTCTTGTTCTAGTGAACATTTTTGAACATTATTTCCAGGTTTTCAAGTGAGCATCAAAGGCGTGTTACTTCTAATTAAAGTTTACTGCTTATTTGAGTTCCTAATACAAATTTTTGCATCTTCTGAAGAAATGAATTTCTTCTCATATTCACATCAATATGTGGTCACTAAGGTATTTTGATTGATTTTAGGGATTTTATATTTTAAATGGACCCTTGTTTAACAACCCTGGGAAGTAAAAAGTAATAGTAATGCTTGTCTTAGCAACTAATGAAAACAAATCTTAAGATTTGCACAGAATTGGTCGTTGATAATTGTAAATGATTAATCCCATCTCTACTCTTCTGCCCTCGCACACCTGTTTCTTGTTTTTGTCTAATAACCTTCATTGTTCTGAAGAATGAAGCGTACCCCTAACCCTACTATGCACACTTAAAATCAATGACTCTCACATGCTTCAGTCTGTTCCCAAAGCTTTTAATCAGAGCAAGGTGTGCCATTGCGAGGTGTTTCACAGTGATAAAGCACATACAGTCTATGTTTACTTGTGTAGAGGACATAGAGACCCATTCAGCTGAGCTTTGAATCAGTAACCAGTGTGTAAACACCTTTCTTGTGCTTTATTAACTTAACACAAACCCCTCACGCAAGCAAACAGAACAAGAAAAACACAAAAGGTGCTTTTCCATTTGACAATGGCATGATTTTGTATATAATAAACCGTACTGCACATAATTGAAGGATAGTGCCAGGAGCATCCGTGTAGGAATCAGGCAGGTGTCTGTGTTTCAGATCTCTCAGATGCTTAAGGCATAAATTGGCTTTTTGTGCTGATCTCTGGCTGGTTTCTACCACCTGTGTTCTAATCGTAACTGTTATTCGGCAGGTAAAGAAAACTGCTCTGAGATTAGAAGCAAAGGGCAAATTTTACCAGCGCCTTTTCCCAGACAGGTGTTGTGTGTTTTAGTTCAGTCGATCATAAATAAGGAAGACTGTCTTCACGCTGTCAGGTTTGCCACGCCAATAGAAGGGTGGACAGATGATTTATAGGACACATTCATACGCCACCTGCCAGGTGTTTAAGCTGCCTTTTAGAGGAATGCTGAAAAAAGATGAATATGCCTTATTATGGAGGCACTTTAGCCCTTAAGCAAGAAGCTGATCTTGTTTTATCCTGTTTTCATTTTTTTGATGCCTTTAGACATATGCAACTCCTTGCACCCGACTACCTCATCTTGGATGCCCAGTATCATGTGACTCGTTTAATAGCATCACAGGACAGTTTTGGGCAACTTATTGTGCCATGGTGTCTCTTTATAGAAGAAGCACTGATGTTTAAACGCCCTTTATCAGGTTTATGTAGAGTACTAAAGAAAATGGAGAGAAAAGATACAATACATTTAACCTTCATACTAGATTCTGCAATACAGATGAATCTGGTCATTGTGAAAGTGTATGTTATTGAGGTTTTATTGAAGTGCTCTTTATTTCTACATATATTTGTGACCCTGGACCACAAAAGCAATAGCCAAAAAAAAAAACATTGTATGGGTCAAAATTATCGATTTTTCTTTTATGCCAAAAATCATCATCGATACTTTTAAAACGGTTCCGGTGCCTGAACTGATACTTATTAAAATAAATAAATAAATAAAAATCCCCTCAAAAATTATGGATTGGCCATTAGCACTATAAACACATGATGTCGGTTTCATTCATACTGGACGCCGGAGGGTGCCCTCTCACAGAAAATCCACATATCCAATCATAGAAGTAGCAGAACTCATGACCCTCCAGGAAATCCCTTATATGTTTTTTTTTCAGTCTATGGGATAAAGGCATCGCTATTATAGCTGTAACTGAGTAAACAGAACATATAAACGTTTTGAATGATAAAACAAAGACAATAAAAACTCAACTGCGACAATATAGTTTATCTGTGTTATTCAAGCAATCTCTGGTATTTTCATAATAATTAAGTACTGTATATTTATAATCCATTACTAATCGATGTATTCTTTTTAAAGTAGCCTATGGAACATATTTTCTGCCTCATTCTGTGACAAGAAGCCACATCAGATCACAAAAGGAAGCATTTGACTGGTATTGTGGAGTAAAAAGGTTATAATGTTCTCTTTTGTTGGACAACAGGTTTAGAGATGTGAATACAAGGGAAGTTTAGCTTTAGGCATTTTAATTTAAGCATGTTTAGCTTAGTTAACGGAAGGCTACCTGCTGCCATCACTTTCCGACTTGAGTTCACGTGCATTTTCTCAGTCGGGAAATTATTTTTCACGTGCGGTGCCGGTGATGATGCTTCTTACATCCGTTTCGGAGAACCAGAGGACAAATATTTCAATCGATCGCTCAGGCATGGCACTGAAATGAGGCACCGAAATCTGCGTTTTGATTTGGTTCTAGTACATGCTAGTTACATAGGTACCGGTGCCATATTGGTACCTGGTTTCGGTACCCAACCCTATTTATATTATATAGCAATATATAAAATATAATCATTTTATAGTATTATTATTGTTTTCAGGCAATATATCTTGAATTAAGAATATTTTTAAGCATACATTTTATAAGTTAACAGTAAGATTTATGCTTGGATAATCTGATGCATTATTTTATTTTTTATTTTGTTTTATTTTATTTTTAAAGTGCTGTGCAGTGTTACATGTCCATTGCATTAAAACCCATTTCTCTCTTTCTCTCTGTCTAGCTGCAGGAGTACTACAAGAAGCAACAGGAGCAGTTGCACCTACAGCTCCTTACCCAACAACAGCAAGCAGGGAAGCAGGCCAAAGAGGTGAGACCCCCCTGCCCTCTCCCTCTGTAGTGCACTTCACAGTGTACTTCACCCTCATAGCACCCCGATGAGCATCCTCAAGATGGCTGACACATCATTTGTCACACAGCAGAGGCCAGTTCCTCTTGAAAGCCAGAAACCAGCTCTTTGAAAATAACTGTATTCTCATATGTGAGATGATTGTATGACTGATTTTGTGCTGCATTGAAACGGCAAAGACCTTGTAAAGGCTCTGTAATCACTGAGCATTACATCAAATCCTCAATAGGAAAAGAGACGGATGCCATCATGTTTTTTTTCCTCCTCCCTCAAGCACTCAATTGCATTTTGTGTATTAAGCAATTCAGAAATGCGGATTAAGACGTTTGGGGAATATGGATTTTCATTTATCTGCCATTGACCAAAGTCATGCTCCAAACCTTACCAAGGGCTTCCCTGCTAATACTCGTTAAGTATTCATTTACAAGTCGCCGCTTGCTAAGCCTAGTAGAAAATCCCTATTACAACCCACTATGGTGGAGCCGACGAGTTTCTTTAATTGTCAATTAATGCACTGGAGAAGGAGAAGGACCTGATCTGGGTAATGAAGGTGAGGGGGAATCATGTTGGATCACTGAGGATAAGACTGCAGCACAACAAAGGCGAGGGCGTAATTGCCTGTGCACTGCGGGAGAGGAGATCTGTGCTAATCTGGCGGTCAAATGAAATCCAAACTTTTGTGGTTTGTGTGTCAGTGGCATGAGATATATCTGATACAACTTAATCAAGGAGTTTTCATGAGGGCTTAATGAACAGACAGCTTAGCGCAGAGATTAGCACGTAGTTGCTAACACAGTTAGCAACACAGCAACATGCAGGTTACAGTAGCTTGTGCAGGTAAAATGAAACTAGGGGACTGTGTTTGCGTCTCTCCGAAAACAAAAGAAAGTTAGTTTTCTTTAAGCTGGTTTAGGATAGTCTATTTAGTCTTCCAGCATTCCCACTGGTCAATCAGATGGTTTTGCAGCCTGCCTATCTAAATAAGCCACAAATAGCAGTCATTAGCACATAGCTGCTAGCACAGTTACGAGAAAGATAGCCTGTGTAGCCTTGCTAGCCGCAGCCTCCACAAGCTGGTTTTAAACTGGTTTAGTTTGTCTCCTAAACTTACTAATCTAGTGTTAAAATGGTGTACCTGGTCAGTCAGATGGGTTTACAAATCTGAAAAGAGTCTAAAACCATCAAAATAGCAGAGATTAGCACATAGCTGCTAGCATAGTTAGGCTACTAGAAAGATAGCCTATGTAGCCTTGCTAGCCTGCAGCCTCCTCAAGCTGGTGTTAAATTGGTTTAGCTTGTCTCCTAACCTTACTAAACTGATTTACCTAGTCAGATAGGGTTTACAGATCTGAAAAGAGTCTAAACCCATCAAAATAGCAGAGATTAGCACATAGCTGCTAGCAAGATGCAGAGTACAGTAGCCTGTGTAGATGAAAAGAGTGAATTGTGGGATTGAGGTGAGCCCTTCAGGTTTAAGATGGTCTAGATTGCCTCCAAGCCTGACTAAGATGGTTTTCGGCAGGATTAATTAGTCTCCCAGCTCGCATTCCATTTGAAAAGTGCCCAAAAAAACAACAAAAACAGACATCAGCACTACGTATGTTAGGAGACTAGCTAGCTCCTTTCACCTGGTTTAAATGAGAGAATAATCCACAGTCCAGTTTATGGACTCTACTAACAACTCCACTGCAATCAGCAAACAGGCCTCAAATTCTCATCTGAGCTGTATATGGTTGAGTGTGGTTCGCAGTCCTCTGTATTTGTGACTGAGAGGATCAGAAAATGAATGAGCTCTTAACTTCATAGCAGGTGAGAGAATGAGGAAAGCGGGGGTGGATGCTATAGGCCATGGAGGAGAGGGATTAAGACCCGTTAGATATGCCCTAGACAGCATCGTGACTGATAGAGCAAATGCGTGGCAAATGCACGAGGTGGCCGAAACACACGTGCACAGAGTGACACACATGCACACACTCTTTAAATGAGACCAGTATCCTGACATTTCCACAGATAGTTAAGGAACGTGACAGAGACCAAGGGAAAAAAGAAAAGGAAAAAGATTGAAAAGTGAGAGGGGAGGGGAAAGGTATAAAAAGCGTGACTAACCTTATTCAAGGCCTCAGGAGTTTTTCAGACATTTTCCCTTATTAAATATTGGAGCTAGGGAGATGGTGTGCTCTCCGAGTGGAAGGAGAGCAGGGAAATTAAATTGGGAGGGCAGTGGTCAGCTCCTCTTTCCTGTGGATCAGCTCACGTTTGTTCAGGGCTTCTTTAGTCAGCCTAAAATATGGCCCTGTGCTAAGTATGCTAATGTGCTTGGCCAACACGTCATAGACATGTTGTGAGTCTGCTGCCCCACCGCACAATTATTTTTAGGTCAGAAGTATGCTGTACTGCCACATATAATTCTTTACTTACAGATCTTTTTAAAACAAAAAATGCTTTTTCTCAAATTAAAATTCAATTAATATTAAAAGCATTTATTATTTTTAATTATTTTACTTCACTTTTTATTTTATTGTTTTTTTTAATGTTGCATTAAAATGTATTTCCTTATTTTATCCTTTTTTATTTTATTTTATTTATAAAATAAAATAAAACATTTCCAAATGCTTGTATACTATAGAGTACATTTTAAGTGTTAACATACAATCCTAGTTTTGGAATGTTAACTGTTAAATGGAATCTATCCGGAGTATCTATGCAAAGAAAAACGGATATAAGCGCACTATATTAGGCCATGTTGAAGGTTTCATCTGTGCGAGTGTGTGTTTACATGCATGTTGTCTGCTGTGTATTGGTGTTCCCCTCGGGACGATTGCACTGACAGCACTGGACTAAAAGTGAAGCAGTCAGGCGTGAGGAGAAGAAAGAAGATAGCAACACAAGTATGTGCTGTGTTTCTCATTCCTCTAGCCCTCTTTTAAAGCCCTTCATCCTCTGTTGGTCCACATGGCACAGAAAACGGCCCCCTTGAAGCCATGAAGCTAACTGCATTTCTGGCCATAATGCCACCTTCTCGATTTTTTTCATCAATATATTTTATTTTCCTTTCATTCGTCATCATTAGCAGAAAGTTTCAACAGTCATGGCAAGTGGCCTGTTCATATAATCTGTGATCGAAATTGGAAACTCAAACTCTCAGGACTTTGTTTTTGTAAAGCAGTTGAAGATGGAGAGATGACACGTAATATGCTCTCGCTCAGTAAAAGACGCTTTAATTGCCGCCCATATCGCTGCCAGTCAGCACGAGCAGGTTGAGAGGTGAGATAGACAGAAAGAAGAAAGGGAGAGATGGTTGCCACACACATTTTTGCATCATCAGTCCCGACTTTTGCTCTTTTTCTGTTTTTTATTGTTTCACCCGCTCTCTCTATCTGTCTCTCTCTCTCAGTTTGACGGTTGAGCTGTGGAGTCACCCTGGAGTCAGCCTAATGAAGTAGCGCTGTCAGTCGGGCCTGGCGTGCCCAAACTCTGTTTGATGTGCTCATAAATCAAGCTGACAGGCCTGTTACTCCGCTAGCTTTAGCCACTCAACTGCATCTAATGTAAACAGCGTGCAGACACAATGTGTTAAAGAACTTGAACTGTGTCCCATGGGATCCTAACAGGGAGAGCAAGAGAAAGGAGAGAAGACAGGGATGAAGAGGAGGAGGAAGGGAAGAGGGATAGACATGCTGAATATTGGCGTTACCTCACTTCTTTCGGTTGCGTGTTAACTGAAGGTTCTCTGCTAGCTCTTTTATCGAATCTGTCATTCTCAAAATGTAGGGAAGAGAACAAGTACGGCCCTCCACAGAGAGCTGGGGCTGGATTCAAGACAGAAAAAAAGTTCAGAAAATTCTCAAGAATTGCACTTGACATCCTCAGATATTTTCTATTTTTGTATGTATGTGTGTTCTTTTTTGGCTCTCTTATGTGTGCACCCAAAAATTAGGTTGCAAGTATAAAATTAAAAGCAAGGTCCCTATTTGAGTTGTTTTTGTAAAGTTGTTACTGAATTTCAAATTAACGTGCATAATCATGATAGATCATTGTTTACATTATCATTCAGTTTTTGTCACCTCAGAGCAATTGATCCCTAGTAATAGTAATATGTATCATACATAGCTAGTGTGTTGCTGCATTGCTTAATATTTTAAACAACCCAATAAATTAATTCAATATCTTAACTTTGGTGATTTAAGACAAGTTGAAGGTCATCCTAACTATATATGGTGGGTATGTCTATGGAGGGTCAGAAAGCTCTCGGATTTCATCAAAAATATCTTAATTTGTGGTCTTTTGGGTTTGGAATGACATGAGGGTGAGTTATTAATGACATAATTTTCATTTTTGGGTAAACTATCACTTTAAGAGGTCATTTGCATTTAAATTTTGTCTATAGAACAATATTAAGGAAAAAGTTAACATTCTCAAGAAATATTTTTGAGAAAAAAAATCATAACTTTGTTCTTAAGACTTTGTGACAGTCACTCTGTTCCAAATTTCTAGTGATCTCCCAACATAGTTACAAAAAAGACCAAACTTAAACTTAATTATGCTACCATTTATAAATAATTGTAAATATTCATTAAGTAGTGAAAAATATAAAATAAAAAAAAATTCAGTGTAATTTATTTTAGTACTATTTATGTGTGCAATGTATTTTGGTTCTTATTAGAGTATTGTGCTGTTAGCTTAGCAGCTTGTTGATGTCAGACTATAGAAATCAGTTGTCTGTTGATTCTCTTGTGCAAAGGCAAAGCACTATTTGAGTTGTTGCCTTTTTCAAATTGTTCATTTATACAGATTTGTGATTGTTAGGATGCTGCTTTTTGAAGACAGTTGCTTATGTAGGGAACAAAGCAGCTCACTAGGTTTTGGAAAGAGCTTGTGTTTTCTTTCTTCTCTGTTGGTGTTGACCCATGTGGCCCTTTCCCATGGGGCCTTGTGCCCCAGGCGGGGGCCTCAAACACTTCTCTGACAGTGAGATTAAGAAACTACCTTTAATTATTTTTCTTTTTTTATTTTCCTTCCCTCCTTCAACATTTTTTTTCTCTCCCCTCCACTTTTTTTTGCACCGTTATCTCAAAGGAGATAAGGCCCATCTCTCATTGAGGGAACATCAAAAAGTGTGTCGCTGGGAACAGTGGTTTGACTCAGGCCAGTTCAGGAAGGAGGACATTTATCACCACGACACCAACTGACCTTATCGGCACATGCCATGTATTCCATAGCACTCACCCTTACCCTTACACACACACACACACACACACACACACACAGAGCTCTCCAAATCTGTACCTCTCTGCTGTAGAAATGAGTGTGAACTGGTTGCTTTATTGTTTTAAAGGTGAAATGTATCATGCATACTTTGAACAAGGTACGCCATTGGCCAAAAAAATAGGTACACTTTTATTCAAAAGTTCTGTAAGATTTATTAATGTTTTTCCAAATGTAATTTGTTCCTGTGATGATGAAGCTGAATTTTCAGCAGCCATTACTCCAGTCCTCAGTGTCACATGATCCTTCAGAAATCATTCTAATATACTGATTTGGTGATCAATAAACGTTTCTTACTATAATCAATGTTGAAAACAGTTGTGCTGCTTAATATATTTTTGTGGAAACCATGATACATTTTTCTCAGTATTTGCTGTTAAATAGAAAGTTCAAAACAACAGCATTTATGTAAAATAGAAATCTTTTGTAAATGTCCGTCACTTTTGAGAAATGTAAAGCATTTCTTTCAAAAACTAAAAAATCGTTCTATCCCCAAACTTTTGAACGGTAGTGTCGCCCCAGCCCCACCTCCCAAAATGTCATTGGTTGAGTTTTTTCCACCTTGGCCCTTTTTTATGTTCCTTCCCACCTCTGGCTGAAGTTCTGAGGGATTTTTCTCACTCATGTCATGTTTTTATACAAGTTTAGGGCTAGTCTTGGAATACACTGTGCTTATAAAACGGTTTGCTAATTTTCATCTCTTTGTTAAACGTCACCAGAAGTCGGCTGGAACAAAAATAAATCTCTTGATAGGTGAATGATGACTATCCACACACATTGAGACCTGTTTATGAAACAGTGAAAAAGGGGTTTGGAGTCATGCTTCTCAGGTTTCACAAAGCACATTTCATGCATAGTGAAAAATACCAATCCTTATCGTAAAATGATAAACATCTGATGTCATATAATCTGGAACTGTTCTTAACATTGTGCACAGATGTTGTTAGTCACTGTTTATTGCCGTGTTAATTGCGCGCCAACCGCATGCTAACAGATTGCTACATGCAGGAATGAATGAGCGTGTTTGTGAGCTTGTCTTTGGTGTCGGTCCTAGACCACATGGAACTGTCACTCCCAGATTAATGCGTTATCTCCTAATGCATGAGGCTTCACAATGCACTTCGACACTTTGAACCAAGTCTCAGCGTTTTGTTGTCTGCTAGTTGTCTACCTCCACAGGAAGTGCTTTGGTGATTGGAGGGGAAAATATCTCTATTCCAGGATATGTCCTATCTAAACATGTCCTGGACGAGGTTGAAGGCGTATAAAAGCCAATGAATGTCTCGTCTTTCCCGCCCTCTCCATCCTGAAGCTCTCCAAGTCTCTTCCTCTCACTTTTCCCATCCGTTTGTTTTGTTGTGTAACATGCTTCTCTCTCTCTCTCTCTCTCTCTCTCGTTCTCAGCAGCAGCAGTTGGGGAATAAACAGCTGGCTTTCCAGCAGCAGCTGATCCAGATGCAACAACTACAGCAGCAACACATTCTAAATCTACAAAGACAGGGCCTGGTGAACCTACAGCCGGGCCAAGGAGCAGTACCCATTCAGAGCCTGCACCAAGGTACACATAACAATGCAATCACACACAGTATGCATACTTATCTGTGAAACACGGCTCGGAATTCAGTTTTCCTGCAAATGAGTAAAATGATCCGAATACTCTTTGTGATGCAGTATGTGGATGATATACTGCATCTGCCGAGATTGAGTTTCAGTAGACGTCTGTAAGGCTACAGATGCTGCCCTATGATATTATAGTATTATTTCTGTACTACAGTGTTAATTTTGACAGCAAATTTTGATTTAGTTTTAGTCATAGTCTTTTGACTAAAATGCCATTTAGTTTTAGTCACATTTTAGTCATCTGAATTGTTTTTAGTTTTAGTCTAGTTTTAGTCGACTAAATATCATAAGATTTTAGTCGACTAAATTTACAGTAAATTTAGTCGGCTAAAATCTAATGGGTTTAGTTACAGTGTAATGCATTTATTAAGCATTTCTCTTTTTGTTGTCTGCTAGTTGTCTACCTCCACAGGAAGTGCTTTGGTGATTGGAGGGGAAAATATCTCTATTCCAGGATATGTCCTATCTAAACATGTCCTGGACGAGGTTGAAGGCGTATAAAAGCCAATGAATGTCTCGTCTTTCCCGCCCTCTCCATCCTGAAGCTCTCCAAGTCTCTTCCTCTCACTTTTCCCATCCGTTTGTTTTGTTGTGTAACATGCTTCTCTCTCTCTCTCTCTCTCTCTCGTTCTCAGCAGCAGCAGTTGGGGAATAAACAGCTGGCTTTCCAGCAGCAGCTGATCCAGATGCAACAACTACAGCAGCAACACATTCTAAATCTACAAAGACAGGGCCTGGTGAACCTACAGCCGGGCCAAGGAGCAGTACCCATTCAGAGCCTGCACCAAGGTACACATAACAATGCAATCACACACAGTATGCATACTTATCTGTGAAACACGGCTCGGAATTCAGTTTTCCTGCAAATGAGTAAAATGATCCGAATACTCTTTGTGATGCAGTATGTGGATGATATACTGCATCTGCCGAGATTGAGTTTCAGTAGACGTCTGTAAGGCTACAGATGCTGCCCTATGATATTATAGTATTATTTCTGTACTACAGTGTTAATTTTGACAGCAAATTTTGATTTAGTTTTAGTCATAGTCTTTTGACTAAAATGCCATTTAGTTTTAGTCACATTTTAGTCATCTGAATTGTTTTTAGTTTTAGTCTAGTTTTAGTCGACTAAATATCATAAGATTTTAGTCGACTAAATTTACAGTAAATTTAGTCGGCTAAAATCTAATGGGTTTAGTTACAGTGTAATGCATTTATTATGCATTTCTCTAAAATTTCCGAACTCATTATATAGGTTTGATATTAAGGTTTTATCATGATAGACACCGATTTAACTGCGCTGTGTCTGAGACGCGCTTTCTGTGTGTGTATGCTTCAGTGTCTGCGCTCAGAAAACCGGACTGAAATGAGTTCTCACTTGCGTCGTCAGATTTATCTATATGTCTGCTCATCTCTTACTCCCACATATTGACATTTTTGAACGTTTTATGAGATGTGCAGCAAATGTATTTTAGCTTATGTCCCGCCGGTTTGTATGTATGCATCTTACCTCGTAACTATGCAGCAGATTCGTTCTGAAGGAATATCTTCCCAAATCTTCCCTCCCTAACATTTTCGTCTCGTTTTTATTCGTTGACGAAAATGTCAATAGATTTTCATCATAGTGTTTGTCATTCAAAAAGAGTTATAGTTCGTTATCGTCTTGTCGTCGGTGAAAAAAATTTTGTTTACGAAAATTATGACAAATTATTCATCAACGAAATTAACACTGCTATACTATCATACTTTTAATTAATATTTTATATTAGCTTTATTTTTATATTTTCAGTTTTCATTTTAATTTTAGTTTAGTTTTAGTAATTTTTTTGTCTGCTTTTGTCATTTATATTAGTTTTCTTAATATTACTGTTTAGGCTATTTAACTTTAATTTTTCTTCCAGATTTAGTTCATTTTTAGATTTGATTGATTTCCAGTTATTAATTGAAGTGCTTGTGTGTAAACTCATTTCTTTCTTTTTTAATATTTTTATACGTTTTTAAAGGTTTTAGCTATCAACACTGCATAAAATAATAAGACTTGTTCATGAGATGTATTTTGTATTGCTGCACTGGCAGATTTTTGTTTATCTTGTTTATAATGTAAACAAGTGGGAACATACTTGTTTAATTAGACAAAATACTCTTATATTTTAGATGAAAACAAGTATTTTATTTATTTATTTTGAAATTTTGAACATTCCAACTAAAAAACAAGTCAACGACTAATTAATAACTTAAGAATTGGTGAATGTCAATTTTACACCTTAGTTGAATGAAAGTAGAAACAAGTCAAAGTAACATACCAAAATTGCAGAATGTCAAACTATTCAAGTCATTCATCTATTGTAGTATTTACTGTGAAAGTAAGGGGATTTTAATGAATTTAATATTTTTGTCAGACATTTTTATTGCAGATACTTACTTGAATTAATGTATATCTTTAAAGGTGAAAAACTCTTCCCCAGCTCCATTAGCTCGTCAATATTAACCACAAACATCTGACTCCGTCTAGCACCAGGTTGAGGTGCTACAACCACAGGCCTCTCAACCTGGTGGTCTGTCTCTTTCACAGCTCTCCTCTTGTTCTCAACAGCCAGAAAAACACCACAGAGTGTCTGTTTCGCTTCTTTAGTGATGCCTATTAATGGAAAGTGGAGCTCTGGAGGAAATGCAGCGTGCTAAATAAATGCAGCATCTGTGTTCATACATGTAGCCCAGGACCAGATGGCGGTCTCAGGCTGAGGCCAGACCTTCGTCCGCCGCCCACTTATTCTTCCTTAGTCAGCCCCAACCACACACACATGCACACACACACATACACACACAATCTCAGATTGCCCCACTACTATACGCACAATGTTGAATGCTAATAAAGCTGGCTGTAAAATGAATCCCTTATTCGTCTTCCTCCAAAATTTGGCAATGAGCTATCATCTCAATCTATTAGAGCGGGATGGAGCCCCCCGGAGACTAACTACAGCCATGTCCATAGAGCTACATGTGAAGCTTGTTAACTTAATCAGCTTATAAAGAGATAAAAGCAAAGCTTGATTGTTGGTTTTGTGGAAGGCATTCATTTGGATAATAGGTAAAATATGCCACAAAATTCACCGGGCTTTGTGCAGAGGCAGGGAGGGGGCTTATGTGTGTGTGCGCCCATGAGTTCTACACGCTCCAGACGCACTTATCCTACAGAAGGAAATGGAGGTTTTGGATAATTTTTGAATGTATTTTTTCAATTTTTCCTTGTTATGTGAAAGGGACTCTACCAGTAATGGATCCTGACTGCAAACTGGCCACCATTCGCCAAAATTAGACACATCAACTTTTACAGGTTCCACAGCGGTCGTAACATTGCAAGAGCCTCAACAGGACAGAACAAACAGGGAACCGACTCCAGTTTCCATGCCGAAATCCCTGCCACTCTTGCCGATAGGGCCTCCAAAATTATCCCAGTCTTTTATGAGCTTGACTCTCATTCTCACCCATTGCTCTTGACATCTCTGATTATTTCAGTCTTAAGAAAACATAGACTCATCATCCGGAATCCTGAATGGGCCTGCCACACACACACATGCACACGGCTGCTTTTAGAAAAGTAGTCTTTTGGAAAAAAAGAGAGGGAGAGAGCCAGGAATAAGGCAGAGGAAGGTTCACAGATTGATGAAAATAATTTTTCGTGACAGCTGTAAACTTTTGGCTTTGGCATCTTTCTGCCGTAGACCCTCACACCCACCCCCATTGCTTATTGCATTGTTTCAAGGGGTCTGAAGAACAATAAACTCTGGGCTCTTGGAATCCCTTCAACAAATCCTGCTACAGAGTAGAATCACGGAATTTCCCCGCAATCCCTCTCTGAAAAGAAGTCCTCCATTATGACTGGCCAGCCAACCATGCACATTCTTCTGGCTAGTCATGCTTGGCTGTAGCTGCTGCTGAAAAGGATTTGTTCTCTGATCCATTTGTGGCGCCAACCGCTGTTGTTGTTGTTTTCGTGTTTGTTTGGCATGCCCAGTCATTCCCGCAGAAAGGCTAGAGTTTCGAACCCAAGCATTAGACAGACTGCTAGTCGGGATGACTTTTGTTTCTTTGTAAGATTCACTTAACAGTTACAGTAAGTCATTTTAATTTCTGTCCAAAGGGCGCAACCAGTTCTGTCGGACTCGGCTTAATGCTTTGTGATCACCGTGCCAAACTTTTCTTCAGTTTTTTTCAGGATTTGTGATGCATGTAGTTAGAAGGGGGGGCAGACATCAGAAACCAAAGGGGAATTTGTAATGTTGCCTTGTGAGCAGCCTCATCGGCCATCTACTTATGAATATTAATCAAATGTAGATGATAATCAGAAAGTGTAATGTAGTCTGATCTGTAGTGAAAGAGTAGCATAAATGCTTATATTTTATATATACTACTATTCAAAAATTTGGGGTCCGTAAGATTAAAAAAAAATAATAATAAAATTTATCCAGAAGGATGCATTAAATAAAAATAAAAAAACGACAGATTACAAAATGGCAATTAACAAAACATTTCTGTTTCAAATAAATACAGTTCTTTTAAACTTTCATCAAAGAATCCTGAAAAGAAATGTATCTTAAGCACCAAATCAGCATATTTTGAAAATTTTGCTTTGCTGTCACAAGGAATAAACTACCTATAAAATATATTAAAATAGAAAAAGTTATTTTAGTTTGTCATAACATTTCACAATATTACTGTTTTTACTGTATTTTAAAATAGATCAGGGGTCTGCAAAAGAGCCATTTTGGCCCCTTTCCCACTGAATAAAATTCACGTGGAGCCACAAAGTAGTTGATCCCCAAATAAAGATAGCACGGCATATAGCTAAAGTTCAATATGCAGGGGAGTAGCAGGGGAGTAGCAATCATTTCGGAAGTGAGGGGGGCAGAAATGTCAAATGTAGTAATAATAATAATTATAATATTTATTTATGTATGTCTAATTGACAAAAATTTTAAGTGGCTAAGAAATAAAATACACTCCTGGACAATAACCAATAATTTGTCTTCTATAATATTTTTGATATATATTACTAATGACAATTTTATAGTTATGATTGTATAATCAGTATAATAGTTTATATACTACAAACATTTTTCCATTTTTATCAAAGAATAAGGCAGAAAATATATTTTATAGCTTCTGCACTGTAATAAATGCTATGTCAGTTAGCACCTTAACATTCATACACCTGGAGAAGACTTGAAAAACAAACATAAACCATATATTGTCGCAATCGTTTATTGTCTTCACGTTTCATCAGTTAAGGTTTATGCTTGTTATTCAACTTAGATACAGCGATAGCGGGATGCCTTTGTCCATATTAGGGATTTCCTGGCATGTCAAAAGTTATTATTACTTCTATCATATGAGTCCGTTTTGGACTTTCTGCATGAGAGCGCCCTCCGGCTTCGAGTATGAATGAAACATACACGCATGAGAGTGTTCAGCGCTCCGTGATGTTCACATCGTTTTGGATACGAATAAAACGTATCCAAAACGACATGACTATCTTGTCTCTTTTAATTTAAATCTAGATTTATTCACATTGGCCCTTGAAAACCTCTACGTGAACACACTAGTCCGAGAAAAAAAAGTGCATGGGAAGAGTTTAGGTTTTATTAAATGTCGGGGGGACACCTCCCCCACGTATTGTACACCCATGCTACGGGGAGCCACCGCAGAGGGATGAAAGAGCCACATACCGCTCGGAAGCCACGGGTTGCCGACCCCTGAAATAGATAAATGCTGTCTTACTGACCTCACTTTGAACAGTAGTGCATATAATTTAAGTTCTGCGGAGATTCCACAGTTCTCCTTTAAATTTGAAGATGACTTATTCTGCATCAAGAAGAATTTCAAAAATAATGTCTGTTTCCAAGCAGGTTTCCCTAACACTTGTCTGCCATTGGTCGAAAACTGTTAGCCCCACCCCAAACTCACACTATTGGTTGAGACTGTGTTGCTATGCCAGGCTGCTAAGACTAACAGTGATGTTTTGAAAACACCACAGTGTTTATACATGTCAGAGAAATCGACCTTAGAATGGTTTACTCATAGTCTCTGCACATTAAGTAAAGTTTTAACGTCATGATACACATCAGCTTCAATAAACCAACTATTAAATGTTAAATATTAAACTATTTCAGGAGCACACACTTGTGTGGAAAGCTGAGGTTGGTTTTCTGTGAAATGTGTGTGTGAGAAATAGAGAGTGTGTGGCCAACCACAGTGGGAAACGCCTCACCTGCCCCTGTGTGTGTGCAACTGTGTTGTGTGTGTTTGGAAGAAAATGAGATACAAAAACACTTCACTGTAGGTAAACCGCTCCATCTCCACCCTGCGTCCTCCCTTCCACTTCCTATGTTCTGGCTGTTTTTTCACAAAAGTAGAAACTTGCAGAAATCACCTCCCTTCCCCCATCTAAGGCAACAGCGCCACGCCACCGAGCTGGCTCGGTTATTTGCAGGGTTAAAATACATCCGTGGCCCTTTGGTGCTCTGTCAGGTTGTCTGTGACTAGTGAACAACAGCCTGTAGCTGCAAGTGTGGCCATACATCATTTCCCTGGCCCCAGGCCTGCTGGGAAGAGAGGGAGGTGGGGGGATGAAGAGAGCCAGGCCAGGCGAGGAGTTTTGTTTTGGCGGGGTCCGGGACAAGAATGCTGGCGGACCAGACATAATATTTAGATTGCTATTAAGTCTTTGCCATGTGAGATAGCGTAGCAGGCTGTGACTTTTCGGGAACAGTGTGCGCCAGACGAGCTTGGGCAGCCCCCCTTCTTCTCCACTTTTTTTACACGCTCAAATCTCCCTCCCAACTTAGACCCCCTCTGCCTTTCCAAGAGACAAAATACAATCCCGAATTCAGCAAGTTTGAGGGGAAAATAAAACCCAAAAAAAATGCCAAGAGAGCATCTCGCCAAGATTAATTCACCCAGTGAGTTGCAGTGCCGGTCGGGACGGTGATAATTACAAATAGAGGTAGCCAGGGGGATTCGCAGAGATGTTGAAAGATAACAAAAACACGCTGAAATTAGCCATTTGCTTCATCCGATTTGGATGGGTCCCTCCTTCTGCTGTTCTGTGAACTTAACAAGTCCTGCTGGCATGCCCCCCTCCTGTAGTAAAGTGTGGCGAGGTGTGTGCCTGGTGTTTTATGGTTTGCCACACTAATGTCAGCACATTGCCAGGCTTTGAGATCTCTGGGGTGAGATGCACTGCCAGCTGGCCACTGTTCAAGATGTGGTGAGGTGGAGGGGTGGGCTTTGGAGGTGTGATAGAGAGAGATGCAGGTTTGGATGCTTTCCGAAGGAGCTCTCGTCATTCAACACTGGGCTTATAGTCTTCAGCACAACAAAGAAGAGAAAAACTAATAAACATGCTGAAAAACTCTCTGTCTAGAGAAGGTTTCATCATATGGCACCTGTTGTTGACCCAGGGCTTTTAAAGCACCTTTTTGTGCTTGTGTTTCAATGGAGTTGATGGATTATAGCACTTATAGTTTGCTAAAGGTGGTAACTTTTTCTTTTCTGTCTAAGAACATTATGGTTTATGGTAATTAATAATGATTTATAGTTTGTAGTAATCTTTCGCTTGCTTTCTGCCCATCTCAGCCATGTGCCCCACTGACCTGCAGCAGTTGTGGAAGGACGTGGCCGGTGTTCAGAGCACAGAGGAGGTCATGAAACATGAGGGCCTCGATCTGACCACCAACAGCTCCAACACTACCTCATACTCGGCCTCCAAGGTCTCACCTCAGATCCCCCATCATACTTTGCCAAATGGACAGAACTCTGTGCACACTCCAAAGAGAGACAGGTCAGTGGAAAATGCACAAGCATGCTTTGTAGTCCACCTGATAATTTTTTTTTTATAATCAACGACATAAGTCAAGAATATGAAGGGGGAAAAAATGCATAAGTATATATGTGTGTGTGTGTGTGTTATATATTGTATGTATATTTATTTAATCAAATCATCTGCAGCAGGCAGGTACTAAAATCTGTGCATGGGTTGCAACTACAAACAGCTAATAAGTAACAACTAACAGTATATTGAAAATAAGCAAACAAAAAAGTGCTATAGCTATGCTAATGTATTTTAATGTTAATGTAATAACTGCTACATGACAGATTTCATAAAGAGATCTTTTTGTCACGCATGTCGTATTTCAAGGTTTCTGTCATCAGTTGCCGTTTGATGAGCTGACGTAAAATGCCTGGGTTCATTTGATATTTGGTGCTCGTGTGAGTTCCTCAGAACATAGCATGCCCTCAGCATGACTGACGCCCCTGTGCCAGTTCAGCATGAGTGTGTGTGTGTGGAGTGGGTGAAGGTGTACTGTGATAATTTCATTGAGAGGTGAGCAGCCGTGTGTGTGTTTGAGAGAGAAAGAGAGAGAGAAGTGGTCCTACTGGGTACTCAAGCCTTCTTTCCATTCTTAAGAGCAAGACTCTTTGAGTGGATCTCCTCCTTCACCAAGGAGTCCAGTGATGAGCATCTCACGCCTTATTCCAAAGGCGCTCCCCTGCAGAGCACCCAGTGAGTAACAAACACACTTATGTAAATATACACAAGGTTACCTATCCATCTAAATGAGGACATTCCTCAGACTGCTATTGTTGTTATATAAAAGTAATTTATCAAACCTTCACAGGGCCAGCCCCCCTTTATACATACACACTAAGACATATATATATATATATATGTATGTGTGTGTGTGTAATTAAGTAAAATGTCAAATAAAATTAAATTAAATATAAATGTAATAAAGCATAAAGTAAAATGTAATATTTATTAGTTCATTTATGAATAGATTGCATAAATATATAAATAAAATCTCCAAACAGCAAAAGGTTTTTTATCAACATTTCTGTTTTTAATCAAGTTTTTAATGAACTTTTGCAGTTCACTTAAATCGTGCTGCAGTGTGACGTTTATAGCAGTTCTGTGGATCTTTTATGTAATATGGCCATTTTTCCACTGGTGGGGCCTCCAAACTACAGCTAAATAAACCCACACACACCAGCAGCACTAACACACACCCCACCCTGTCATGCTACACGGACATGGCTAAACAGAAAGAAAAGCTCGCCTTCCATCATGTTTTCTTCTAACACTGTTCTCCCTGACTTGGCCTAACACATTTACACACAAACACACACATACACGCAACTCAAAAGGAAAGAAAAACTGTGCGGTGAGGCTAATGCATGGCACATGTGGACAGTGTGGTTGCCAGTAGTTTGTAATGTCTAGCGCTCGAGCAGCTTCTGAATTGCGTGGGCCGTCCACTGCCAGCACATCTGATGAAGAGGAGGAGGGAGCGTGTGTGTGCGCCGCATCAGGAGGGCCTCATCTGCTAGCAAGCTGCTTTATATTAAGCAGTACTCTGATGTGGAATTGGGAAGAGTTCCCCAGGCCTTCAACCGCCACAAGCCGCGCTCCCCCCCTTTAGCCCCCTGCCCATGCTTAGCAGCAGCCAGACACATGACGAAGGATTCTGTGGTCCCTGCCCTCACAAAAAAAAACAAGCTACATGCTAGCCCGTGGCGGTTGGCCAGGCCCGAAATGAAAAATTGCTGGATGAGACTGCTGGCGGGGGTTCGAGGCTGATCCGTTATGGGTCTCTACAGAAGCCGGGGCCGGAGAGACCCGAACCAGACTTCTCAGCCACAGAGCACACAGTGGCTATATCTCAAAAGAAACAAGACTGTAGCATTTATCCCCAGGCCCCACCAGCAGGCCCTGTCAGCACATCAGCAGCCACCTTATCCGTGCTCCCGCCGTTACGAGAAACATCTGAATATCATCCACGTTCGTTTGTAATTAGATGGCGGCTTGTTGTTCCTGGCTGCATCTAAGGACATTTGAACCTGCGTCGTAGTACAAGATGCTAATACAATGATACGCACTTACTATTGGAAGCCTGTCAGTCACAATTATGGAAAAGCTGTCATTTTTTACATTTACCAGATCCTCTTGAGCTAGATTTGTTCGAAGCTTCCTGAAGGACTGGCTCAAAGCTATATCGGCTTTCCCAGACAGGGAATGTTCGAGACTGTTTCCATTGCTTCATTGCTTTGTATTGGTTGCATGTGTGAGGCTACCATGCCGACTGCCTGAAAAAAAATTGATATTGACCCCAATGGGTTGTTTTGATTAAGAAAGCAGGTGTTTAAATGATTTTAAAGAAAAAATATATTTAACAGTTTCCACAAAAGTATTAAGCAGCGCAACTGTTTTCAACATTGATAATAAGACATTTTTTGAGCAACAAATCAGCTATTAAAATGATTTCAGAAGGATCATGTGACTATGAAGACTGGAGTTCAGTGTGACATCATTTATAGTTTGACTAATCAAATCTTTTTTGTCTCTTTCAGCTCGACTCACGAGGAACACACGGCCTCTCACCCACTCTATGGACACGGCGAATGCAAGTGGCCTGGCTGCGAAGCGCTGTGCGAGGACATGGGCCAGTTCATCAAGTGAGTGACAGCTGTCCGTCAAATTCTACTTCACAAGCATGTAATGTGGTACATTCATGTCAAACCTCGTAACTCATGTAAAACCCCCCACTGGGCAGCAGAGCATTCATCATTACCTGCTGTGTCCCGCAAAACAAGTCTGTGGCTGTTAGCATTTCCCTCTGTCAGTGTGCATTCATCCTTTTTCCGATGAGCTTGCTGATCACTTGTAAACTAAAGGCCTCTTGCTCTGAAGTAAATGTGGGGATGAGAGGACAGGCAATAAGAAAGCCGGGCGACTGACAGCTGTGTTCAGGTGTGATGTTTGAACAGACCAGAGACGAATGAATTCCACAGAGAGGTGGGGGGTGCAAGGTTATTGCTGGAGAGAGCGTGAGACATTCACCAGTGCTGTGGGACTGTACTCGTGTATGAAAAAAGAGAGCTAACGCTTGATAGACAGGTATTTCACAGTCATAGAACACAATCAGAGTAAACTAGAGATATATATATACATGTATACATATATATATATATATATATATATATATATATAAAATGGCGCGGGGCCCAGAAACTTTTGTGGTGCCCCTGGCTAGATGACCTTGATTATAGACTACATTTTCCCACACTGATAATTCTGAAGGCCTCAATGCAGATTTCTTTGACCCTGGCAACACGATTGCTGAAATATGATTGGATAAAAGCTCTAATATAAACATACACTGCTGGAAGCAGTGCAACCAAGAGAAAAGCTATGAACTGAAGAGAATAGACTATTGGAAATAATTTAATACACATTCATGGAAAAATATATTAAAACTAAATCAGTGATTCTGATAGTGTTTAGGCCAGCAGAGAAGGCTTTGCTGGCCCTGACGGCCCACCACTGGTGTACAGTATACGGCTAAATGTTTAAAATCATTTTATCATTTTACATCACTGTGTTTCTTTATTAATAGATTCCAGGTGCACAACATTGATTTTTAGCCTGGAAAAAGTTATCTCTAATGTGAGTGTGTATTGTAGACCTTTTTTTTGTATACTAATACTATTAATACTAATTTTACGTATTAATTAAACTTTTTTTACACTAAAGTGTTGATAGACTAAAATTAAACAAAAGGTACACTAACTTTGATTCCTTTTGGGTCTGTTCATTTCTGAATTCAGATGGTGACAGTGTGCAAAATTCCAGAAATGAACTGTATGGTAAAGGTTCAGCTTAATACTTTTGCACAGGAAGCTAGTTCACACTTGCACCACTTGTAACCATAGAGACAGATGTTCTGTTCCCTTCCTGTTGACCCGTCCTGTGTAGTAGAGGAAAAGAGTGTGTGTGTGTGTGTGTGTGTGTGTGTGTGTGTGTCTGATCAGGTAGCTGCCCACAACTCTTCAATACTGTCAGAGGCCGATTAGCTCCCCGCTCCCATAATTCCGCCTCTCCATCCCTGAGCGCTCCACTGCTGGGTCAAGCAAATTGTTTTCACGCTTCGTTAGTGGTTTACTTAATTAGCTCATTTACAATTAGAAGCTTTTGTTTCTTGGATACAAGCAAAGACATCAAAAAGAGGCTCCCTCCCCTCCCCTCCTCTATCTCCCTTTTCCCAATCTTCTTTCTTCTCGCCATCTCTTTTTCTTTGTCCCTGTGTTGGCCAGTTTGGGGTCTTTAGGGATGCTGGGGGGACGAGAGGAGATAAAGAGAGGAAGAGATCAGACAGGGAAGGCGATGTAAACAGTCCCATTGTCTCTGTGTGTTAAAATAATGAGACTTCACAGTGGAAAGTCCTGACATGTTCGCCTGTCACAGTGGTGCGAGCCAGACTGTTGCCGCTGCCGTTGCCCCAGTGGACTCGAGGCTCGCAACGCACGTTCTCTCTGCTGTTTATTTTCTCTCCCTCAAACACCTCCTTTGATATCCGGCAGGTCAACTTCGTCTGTTACAGTAGCCGAGTGTTCTTGTCCGTTAATGAGTGGCGGTCACTTCCCTGCGTGTTCATTTCCTTTGACGAGATACTAGGCCCTCACATAGTCTTTTGACTCCAGAGCTGTGCTTCCTCGAGGGGACCGCTGTATTGACAGGCCGGAAAGATGTGCATGTAAATTTCCTCTGGTCGTCCCTGGCGACAGGGGTGAAGAGCGTGTTCGGTGCACGCAGGCAGGAGCGGGAAGCGCGTATGATGGTCGCTGACATGCACATCAAAGAGCCGGAGAGTCTGGGAAAGTTTTAAGAGTAAAGCTGTTGTTTGGTTGCGCTGTGTCTCATTTCACATAGCCTCGGGGCAAGCAGAGAATGGGGGGGGGAGGACACAAGATAAGATGGGAGGGAGTGACAGATATTGCCATCAGTGCTGTGCACCGTGGCCTAGTCAGAACACTTTAGTCATCGCTAAAGACAGGAAGAGAGGAGTCTCTCTCTCTCTCTCCTTCTGTTCTTTTGACTATTCTATAGCCCCATCTGGCTGCCTGCCACTTATAGTAGGAAATGAGGCCCTCATGGAATCGGTGCCCGCCGAACGAACGCCCACCATTCACAAAGCTCTACACATCCCTTGCCCCATACATGTTCAGTTTGGGTAATTTAAAAAAAATGCTTTCAGCTTCCAATAAGGGGACATTCACACAGAATGTTTTTCGTTTTGCACTGCTATTTTAATTGCTGGTCTATCTAAACATGCACTAGATGGATGTTTTTGACCGTCATACCACGGTTTTCAAGATGAATGTGGTGTTTTTAAACAACCATGGTAATTTTTATCAATTTGAACTGTTCCTTTAGGGAGTCAAAGGTACAGAAGACATTCATGCAATATGAAGGTTATATATTATATTATATTAATGATATTCTATAACACACTAGTGATGTTCACCCCGCCCCCTGCTTCTTCTGATTGGTCCAGTGTTTTGAAATGAAACATGATGAGCTGGCCTGCATGTCAACAGTTGATCTTGTTATAAGTTGACTTTGTTTCTTGTGGTACTCATGCGTAAGACGCAGAAAAAGCAGCAAGATCTAGCAAATGTTTACATAGAAAAACTATTAAAAAGCACTCCAGTTAAACACATACAACATGAACCACTAAGAGTGTAGTACGCTCAGCTCTGTTTAACTCCATTTTATATATTTTTAAAATCCTTTTCACAGAATTCAGTGCAAGAAATGCTGAAAAAAAGTCTTGCCAGTTTCATCTGGACATAATAGGGACACTTTTTATCCCCAGATGAAATCTCTTGTTTTCTCTTTCTCTCTAGCTAGAGTAGTGTGTGAATGCTAAAACACTCATTCGCTCTTAATCTTCATCCTGTCTTTCTCTCTTTCGTTCTATTTCACACACTCTCATCCTGAGCTCTTTAATGATGTTCAGTTTTCTCTGGCATGCCAGGGAGAAATGTGTTAGAATACTCAGGCCCTTTGTCGGGGCTGGCTTGTGACTTTTTTTCTGTGACCATTGTAAATGCTCCTCAAATCCCGGTCGGGGTGCAGGGAGTAAACACTGCCTCGTTGTCGGGTCTCTCGGAAAAACGCTGCTACTGTTTATTATGAGCCATAAAACTTGTGGTCTGTTCCTTTATTCAGAAAGAGAGAGAGAGAGACGGGGGGTGTAGAGGGGCAGAGGGAGAGTAAGATGAGATCATGTTTTTGTTATTATCATCATGTGCTTGCAGGGAAAAAATGTCTATCTGCGCCTGGATTAGTCGAGTGGGTGACATCATTGTTTTTGTTTAATTTCTCATGAGAGAGCGAATGCGCACCCCTCTTTTCCTTCAGTCGGACATTCAAAACGGTCGTGTCATGCGCCGGGTGTCACTGAGATAAAGCAGGCCGGGATCATGAGGATGATTTTGTATTGCGAATGTTAAAATTCTGCCACTCACACTCACTTCCGTTTGCCGCTCTCCCATTGTGAAGAGAACTAAACACGATGGGCCGCCCACGCCAGAGAGGAGGGTGCTAAAAAATGCAGGAATTCCCTCTTGAGAATGGATGAATTTGACTGCACCAGTATTAAAATTACAATAAACTAAGAATTATTTTCATGTTGTGGCTAATAACTGATAATTGGCTGATATTAAAATTTTGCCTATAGAATTTAAAAATGAAACATTAAAAGCTAAATGTTTGCAACATTATAATGTACATTATCAAAAAATGGATATTAATTTAGTAATATTTTTAAAGATTAAATGAAATATATAATATTGGCCAATACTGATAACTTTTGAATAAAAATTTGAATATAACGGTATGGTACTGATATATTGTGCATCACTAGATTATATTTTTAGTCTGGGACAAATATGTAAAGTAATCCTCAGGAAGATTTTGCTTTATAATGCTTCCAGAAAGGGATATCTTATCTTCTATAATATACGCTCTTGTGACCCCTGACCTTGGAGTCATTAAACCTCACCAGGTGTGTTGACCTCAGAAGGTGGGAGGGGCCACACTAATGACATCATCGCTCAAATGCTTCATGACATCATCGTTTGGATATAGGAATGTTTATTGGATTATAGAATTGGGTTTATATGTGCAGGGGTTGACTTGTTGTAAATAAACAGTGAAGGATGAGACAGATGGCGTGAAGGAAAGATCCAAGATCGCAGACCCTAGAGTTCATCTTGGTTTCCAATCTGACACCATCACTTTAAGCTCTTACTTTTCTTGTTCGATTTTTGCTTTCTCATTTGGTTCTCAGCCCTGCATCATCTGTTTGTTTTGTTGTGTTTTGGAGTGTTTTTTTGGATTGCTTCATAAAGAAAACATGACTTGAATAACTATGGGCAGAGCTCACCCATCTGAAGCAGCGCTTGATGAGTAAAACAAATGAAGTCATATCCAGGTGGGGGTTTTTTTTCTTCCCTTTTTCAACTCCCACTCAGTTCATGGCCTACGGCACTTTCTGACAAAAAAACAAAACCGTTTCCAAAATAATATCCCACTCCAGCTGCATTTCAACTGAATAACAGAGACATTAGGACACTCGTTCAGACCTAATATAGAGAGACGTTCATGTCTAAAGTTATTTTCTTTTCTTTCGATGAGTGACAATAAATACAATAAAGCTTCTTTTTGTTTTTTTCACTTTCAGCAAACAGCATGGTCACATTCGCTCATATGACACAATCCTCAGCGGAAAACTCTCTTTCCACATCTTTCATGTCCTAATATTGTTTTTATTTTCTTGCGAGAGGAAATTGAGTTTATACGCCTAGTGAAAAGTGTTTTCGAGTGGAAATCCACTATTGTTAGGGGCTTCCTCTGAGAGGGCCATTGTGATCCCAAGAGAATTCCATTAAATATTTCTTCTCCAAAATGGAAAAATAAACCGTTATCTGTGCTCGTATTTTGATGTGGTTATTTGTTTATGTGAAGTCATGGTTTGACGCCGCAACTGGATCTCTGATGCCTCAGTGACCTCTGTATTTGGGTTTAAGTGTGTGTGTCGTCAGGACATGACGCCCGGGCATGTACAGTAGTGTTGACACGTTAGCATACGCGGCACAAACTGTGAGACAATCCCAAAAGGCTGAGACACAGCCGTATAGTGTGTGTGTGCACTGTATCAGGCAGGTCAGCGACACGGTTTGTGGCAGATGGTCCAAATATGCTTACAGATCTCCCTCTGGGAGTTTAGATAGGGTCGCGGATTGATCTAGTAGACTGTGTATCAGGATATGTCATCACATGTTTGCATTTCTCTCTCTCTCTCAGGCACCTGAACAGTGAACACGCCCTGGATGATCGCAGTACGGCCCAGTGCAGGGTCCAGATGCAGGTCGTTCAACAGCTGGAGATACAGGTGGGATGCGCGCACAAACGCAAAATCAACATTTCTCTAAAAATCTTGCAAGCTGCCTGACTATCTCTTTTCCTGTGTTTTCATTTACATTTATGCATTTGCCAGATGCTTTATCCAAAATATGTTTTGGCCTTGTAATTATGTTGCAGTTACAGTAATTGTCAACTTTAGAGGATCAAGGCTTGAATTTGTGTTTACCAATATGGTGCACTGATGCTGAGACTTGGTCTTCCAGAGCTCTCACCTAGCTGGCATGATTTTCTGCCCATTACATGTCACATGAGTTGATAGAGATCACTGGAGCTTGTAAAAGGAAGAGTGATGTAGAGTGTGGTGCGAGAGAGGAGGCCAGAATATCAGCCTTTGATGGATCCCAATTAGAGAGTTTCCCAGCACCTCTCTCATCCCTCATGCCGCGGACTCTCGGCAAGCACCGCGGGCTGCCTGTCGCACGCATATACACGGTGTCATCTCTAATGAGAGAGCTGATAAGGAGAAGGGTGGACATGGGAAGTGCTAGAGACTTCCTTTGACCACAGACACCCTCTGTGCTCTGCTTCACTCTCCTGATGTTGGCCAAATTACAGTCATTTTTCTAATCAGCTGAGTGGTTTTGTTATTTTCAGTAGGGCAGCACTGATATTACAATTTGGTTGTACCGATTAACTGCTACTTAAAAATAACATGACAATCAATTATCATTCAGTTAGCATTTAACTGTCCCAAAAAAAAAAAGTAAATTCTTCTTCTTATGATTAAATTAAATTGTTATATTAATTAAATTTTTTAAATAATAATTTAAATTTAAATTAATAAATATTTAAATAAATGAAAAATGTGAAAATAAATCACTTGTCACAATCAACAAATATACATTTGAAACAATAATAATAATAATAACATTGAATTTAGATTTAATTTTAGATTTAACATGATTAAAAAGTAACATTTCTGTATAATATATATTGTTATTTATTATATTTATCAGTAATAAGTGTTTTGCTGTTTCAGGCTGGTTGGATGTTTTGATACTGTAGCACCACAGAGTATTACATTTTTGAAAAATCAAACCACAAATGACCTTTTTGTAGCTGTCAGTTTTTAAATAATAATTTAAATTTAAATTAATAAATATTTAAATAAATGAAAAATGTGAAAATAAATCACTTGTCACAATCAACAAATATACATTTGAAACAATAATAATAATAATAACATTGAATTTAGATTTAATTTTAGATTTATTCATGTTTAAAAAGTTCCTAACATTTTACTTTTTCTTTTTTTAATCGCAGTCCCATTATAATCAGAAAAAAGCACAAACAAACAAACAGAAAACATAGATGCTGTATATAAATTATTATTGTGCAGTGTAGACTTTGTTGATTATAATTGGAGGGTGTGCAAAAGTCCACAATGTGTGTGCAAAAGTCCACAATGTTTCGTAAAAAAAATCATTTTCAATTTTTGTTATAAACTTAGGAAGAATTTGGAGGAATTTTCTATCTAAGAGAATGCACAACCAGGTGATATAGGGTGCATTTCATTGTAAACATAAATCATTTATGACCATGTAATGTGCTATGTTTAGTGGTGGATGATGTTTTATTGTCCTTGTGAGTAATTTGTTTGGACGCAGAGACTGTCAGAAGAGCGTCTAGTGACAGTTAGGATTGGCAGACGCTGACAGGACATCGGTCGGTCACATTAGGTTGCATTAAAGAGACCGTTAGCTATGGGGGAGCTGCTCGCCCTTTTCAAACACGCTTAACTAAAACGCAGGTCATGTAACCTTACTGCGCCTGCAGCTGTAGAATTCCTCTGCTTTTGGAGCTGTAAATCTCGTGGACGGGCTTACATTGAGATGGGCACTTCAGACCCTCCAGCTTTACGTGGCAGAACAACTTCCCATCATAACTGCCAGTCAGACAGACCTGGTAATTGGTCAGTTTCCCTTTTCCTTCCACGCCACCTCCCCTCCATGTTCTCCGTCTCGTCTCATTCCCAAAAATAAACCCCTCACAACAAAGTGTTTCAAAAAACACTTCCCTGCCAGGCACGCGGGCAGCGAGCTCACTTTGTGTCCCGCAAAGCGCGTTTAAACACGTGTCCAGATCGATGCAGGGTGATGAGAAGTGACAAGAGAGTCAGTCCACGTCCAAGCGGATTTCCTCGTACGTCTACCTCCGTCCTGTCACCTACTCTACCCCCACCGCCCCAATGCCAACCCAGACCGACCAGAACCACCCTTGGCCAACCTGCTGTCTCTCCCAGCATACCAGCTCAGTTTTTCCACTGTTTTTATTACCAGGCTGACCAGCATGGAGCTCATTAAACACACATATCAGCTAATGGGTGAATAAACAGCCCAGATCTGTGGATGACTTCAGCAATACCAGGCATAGCCGCAGAGCACCAGCACAACACAACAACAGTCTAATCGCATCCTGAGATTGATTTCATATTGTGGGGCTTTTATTTTGACCACCCAGAAACCTTAGCATCACCTAGCTATGCCCAGCAACCATACATAATACCTTGGCAATCATTTTTTTATTTTTTTTATTTTAATGTACACTCTCTATTGAGCAGTAAAATGCGACAGTCTGTTTTTCTAGCACTTTTGGTGCCACTGAAGTGTATGGTGCCAGTCTCAGAGTGTCGCCCGCTGATTACGAGGGGCCGCCTGCCTCCACACTTCCTCTAAATGGCGGTTAGGAATGTCAAACGAGGACGAGTGTGGTTACAGGGCAAGTGTCTCTGAAAGAGACGCAGCAATCGAGAGAAAGAGGGAGAAGGATGGTGAGAGAGATGTTTTCTCCCGGAGGTATCAAGAGCTGTGAAACGGCATGTCAACATCCCTGTGAGCTGACTCAGTTAACAGGCAGAATGCAAAATTATCCTCACAAGAGAATATCTGGAGTCACTCCCTCCTCCTCTCCGCGGCGCCCAAAAGAGCGCTACACACACTATGACGACACTTAGTTTTTAATGTGCTGTATTGGCATGACAAATAATTGTGCACTTATGCTGCCAAAGCTTTAGCAGCTGCGTACAGAGAAAACAGTGTGGCACAGAAATAGTACAAAATAATATACATAAATTAAGGAAAATTAAAAAATATTTTGACATTTTTTAATTT